TACAAATACTCAAATGGCGAATTTACAAAAAAGATACAATCGATTTGGAAATTTTCGAGAAAACCAAAAGCAAAATACAAAGACAGTTGCGGGAAAAAACTGGATAGCTTGTTGATGTTGTAAAACAAGGCTTTGGATCCACCAACGATGGCGACACTGCAGCTGTTTTTTTTTTATTTAAGAATATAGGCTGAATTCCAAAACGTATCAATACAATGTTTGGATACTGTTATACTGCGGCATTCAAACTGTTTGTATATGCAGAGTTACGACACATTGCAACCATATAGATTGCACATTTTAAATATTCAATATAGCAGTGAAAAATTTGTCTGAATTTTTTTTCTGAATTTTACATTTTTAAAACACCAATGGGAGAAAGAGAGGGAGCTTCGGTGGGGCCACTCTGACTTATTCGGTTTAAGGGCTCACTGAAGTCTGCAGCGTCTGTTCACCAGTAGGTGCGGCTGCAAGCGGGTGTCTGCTTGGAGCAAGCGGGTGTCTGCTTGGAGCAAGCGGCTCGCTATATAAACGTGTATTTGGTTGCGAAACCACCCCCGTCCCAGCAATGGGTTGTGCGCTGGGCTTGGGACCCGCCACGTAAAAACCACTTCCAGTGACAAGGCAAAGCCTCGGATGAGACCCCCCCTTATGATGAAGACCACGGCAAACGTTTAAAGGACTACGATTTCAGGGCATGCACCTGGAATGTCCGGACCCTTAATGGGGAAGGTGCCTCTGCCCGGCTGGTTGATGTCCTCGTAAGGACAAAAGCTGACATCACCGCCATCCAAGAAATGCGTTGGACGGGGCAAGGCAAACAATGTCTGGGGCCTTGCGACGTCTACTACAGCTGCCATGTAAAGGAGCGCAAATTCGGTGTTGGATATGTGGTGGGAGAGAGACTCCGTCGCCGAGTACTGTCGTTCACCCGGTGGACGAGCGTCTAGCCGCAATCCGCATCAAAGCGAGATTCTTCAAAATCTCGCTCATCTGCGCCCATGCCCCGACGGAAGAGAACGATGAGGCATCCAAGGATCTCTTCTATGAGCGCTTGGAGCGCACGTACGAGCGCTGCCACCGTCATGATATCAAAATCGTGCTTGGCGACTTCAATGCCAGGGTGGGCAAGGAAGGGATATTTGGAACCACCGTCGGAAAATTCAGCCTCCACGACGAAACGTCCGACAACGGATTGAGGCTGATCGACTTCGCCGGGGCCCGAAACATGGTAGTATGCAGTACTAGGTTCAAGCAGTAGCTTTCGCTACTCGACTCTCACACCTCCTCTCAGAGAGCACTCTTCAACAAACCGACATATGCGAGCAGTGGAACCACATTTCCCGCTCATTAAGTACCGCCGCCGAAGAAGTAGTCGGATTTCAGCGAGCCCGAAAGAACAACTGGTACGATGAGGAGTGTCAGGAAGCTGCAGAGAAAAAAGATGCCGCCTACAGGGCCACGCTGCGATCGGGCGCAACGCGCGCTATGTGGGACCGCTATAGGGATCTGAAGAGGGAAGCGAGACGTATGTGCCGCAACAAGAAGAGAGAGACCGAAATACGTGAGTGCGAAGAGCTTGAAATGCTGGCCGACGGGAGGAATGCCCGAAAATTTTACCAGAGAGTTAGGCGTCTTACGGAAGGTTTAAAGACCGGGGCGGACTCCTGTAAGAACAATAATGGCGACCTAGAAACTGATGTCCAGAGCGTACTTAAATTAGGGAACACTTTTCCGCACTACTAAATAGTAGCACCACGGAAAGTTGTGGATAAGAAGAACCCGAGCCCGCAGTCGATAATGCCGGAGTCGACGTTCCACCGCCTGAATATGACGAGGTACGTATAGCAATAACGCGGCTGAAAAACAACAAAGCTGCTGGAGCTGACAGCCTGCCAGCTGATCTATTCAAGTACGGCGGCGTGGAGTTGATAAGGTGCATGCATCAACTCTTGTGCAGAATATGGTCAGATGAACGCATGCCCGACGACTAGAATTTAAGTGTGCTCTGCCCAATCCACAAGAAAGGTGACCCCGCCATTCGCGCCAACTACCGCGGGATCAGCCTTCTAAGCATAGGTTACAAGGTCTTATCGAGCGTATTGTGTGAAAGACTGAAGCCCACCGTCAATGAACTGATTGGCCCTTATCAGTGTGGCTTTAGGCCTGGCAAATCCACCATAGACCAGGTATTCACAATACGCCAAATCTTGGAAAAGCCCCGCGAGAAAAGGATCACCTATTTGTCGACTTTAAAGCCGCTTTTGACAGCACTAAAAGGAGCTGCCTATACGCCGCTATGTCTGAATTTGGCATCCCCTCAAAACTCATATGGCTGTGTAAAATGACGTTGAGCAATACCACCAGCTCCCTCAGAATTGGAAAAGACCTCTCCGAGCCGTTCGCCACAAAACGGGGTTTCAGACAGGGCGACTCCCTTTCATGTGACTTCTTTAATCTGATGTTGGAGAAGATAATAAGAGCTGCAGAACTGAACCGCTCAGGAACAATTTACTATAAGAGCGTGCAATTGCTGGCTTATGCCGATGACATCGACATCATCGCTAAAAAAAACCGCGAAGTCTGTTCTGCCTTTTCCAAGTTGGATAGGGAAG